ATTGCATGTGAAAACCCCACACTGTACCCTAGAAGTGCATTAATGTACATAGTTACCGTTCAATAAAAAAAAAAAAGAAAAAAAAATCAATACTCACAAATCAGTAGCTTTTACATATACCAATAATACTGAAGCCGAAAAAACAGTCAAGGACTCTATTCCCTTTATAGTCGTGCCAAAGAAGATGAAGTACTTGGGAATTTACCTAAGAAAAGACATGAAGGATCTCTAAAAAGAGAATTATGAAACTCTGAGAAAAGAAATAGCTGAAAATGTTAAATAGAAAAACATACCATGCCCATGGCTAGGAAGAATTAAAATTGTTAAAATGTCCATATTACCCAAAGTGATTTACAAACTTATTGCAGTCCCTATCAAAGCACCACCATGATACTTTAAGATCTGGAAAAAACAGTACTTCGTTGTATATGGAACCAGAAAAAAACCTCAAATAGCCAAGACATTACTTAGAAATAAAAACAAATCAGGAGTAATCATGCTACCAGACTTCAACCTATACTAGAAATCTATAGTGATCAAAACAGCATGGTATTGGCACAAAAATAGAGAGGTAGATGCATGGAACAGAATTGAGAACCAAGAGATAAACCCAGACACTTATCATCATTTGATCTTTGATAAGTCTATCAAAAATATAAATTTGGGGAAATATTCCCTATTTAACAAGTGGTGCTGGGAGAATTGACTGGTGACTTGTAGAAGACTGAAACTCGACCCACACTTTTCACCATTAACAAAAATTGACTCTCACTGGATAAAAGATTTAACGTTAAGACATGACACTATAAAGATTCTTGGAGAATGTGTAGGAGAAACACTTGAAGAAATTGGCCTGGGATAATACTTGATGAGGAGGATCCCCCAGGCAATTGAAGCAACATCAAAAATACATTACTGGAATTTGATAAAACTAAAAAGCTTCTGCACAGCCAAGAACACAGTAAGTAAAGCAAGCAGACAGCCCTCAGAATGGGAGAGGATATTTGCAGGTTATGTTTCTGACAAAGGTTTGATAACCAGAATCCATAGAGAACTCAAACTTATTAAAAAGATAAGAACAAGTAATCCCATTTCATTGTGGGCAAGGGACTTGAACAGAAGCTTCTCTGAAGAAGATAGGTGCATGGCCTACAGACACATGAAAGTATGACTTTGTTTTTATTACTAAGGACTGCCTTAGATATACGGAGTTTTCTCTGGTTCCATACAAAATGAATAATAATTTTTTCCAAATCCTGAAAGTACAATGTTGGTATTTTAATGGGATGGCACTGAATCTGTAGATTGCTTTGGGAAGTATAGATATTTTAACAATGTTGATTCTTCCCGGCCATGAGCATGGTATACTCTTTAATTTGTTAATGCCTTCTGCTATTTCTTTTCCTTGTGTTTCATAAATTTCCTCTTTTTTTTTCTTTTTTGGCTAACTACAGGGAATTTCATTGATGTTACATGACAAGACGGGGCTCCTGAGGCCCCTCCCATTCTTCAGGAGGTCTGGTGTGGAAACTGTGTCAAGGGTAGATTCTCAGTGAGGTGGGGGACAGAGTAGGCAGGGGCAATCCAGCAGCTGAGGGCCTCTCTCTTCCTCTCATGCTTTGTCTGGGGCCGGTGGTCACGTGGCTCTTAGTCCTTGGAGGCCAGGTGGACCATAACGTTCACCACCCTGTTGCTGTAGCCAAATTCATTGTCATGTCAGGCAATGAGTTTGGCAAAGTGTTCATTAAGGGCAATGCCAGTCCTAGCATAAAAGGTGAAAGAATGAGTGTCCATGTTGAAGTCAGAGGAGACAACCTGGTGGTCAGTCAGTGTAGCTCAAGATACCCTTAAAGGGGCCCTGTGATGCCTGCTTCACCATCTTCTTGATATAATCATATATGGCAGCCTTCTCCAGATGGCAGGTGAGATCCACGACCAACATGTTGGCAGTGGGGGCATGGAAGGCCATACCAGTGAGCTTCCTGTTCAGCTCAGGGATGACCTTGCCCACAGCCCTGGCTGCACCAGTTGAGGTGGGGATGATGTTCTGGAGAGTACCATGGCCATAATGCCACAGTTTCCCAGAGGGGCCACCCACAGTCTTCTGGGTGGCAGTAATGGCATGGACTGTGGTCATGAGTCCCTGTATGGTGCCAAAGTTGTCAGAGATGACCTTGGCCAAGGGTCTGTTGGTGGTGTAGGAGGCATTGTTGACAATGCTGAGGCTGTTTTCATATTTATCATGGTTTAAGTCTCTTGCCTACAACAAAATGGGATTATTTATTCTTTTCTTATTAATAAGTTTAAGTTCTCTGTGGATTCTGGTTATCAAGCATTTGTCAGAAGCATAGCCTGCAAATATCTTCTCCCATTCTGAGGGCTATCTGCTTGCTTTACAAACTGTGTTCTTAGTTATGCAGAAGCTTTTTAGTTTGATCAGATCCCAGTAATGTATTTATGGTGTTGCTTCAATTACCTGGGGAGGTCCTCCTCATAAAGTATTCTCCCAGCCTGATTTCTTCAAGTGTTTCTCCTACACTCTCTCCAAGAATCTTTATAGTTTTAGGTGCATGGCCTACAGACACATGAAAAAATTCTCATCTTCTTTAATCATCAGAGAAATGTAAATCAACATCACTTTGAGATATCATCTAAGTCCCATGAGAGTGGCTCACATAACAAAATCTCAAAACTACAGATGTTGGCATGGATGTGGAGAAAAAGGAACACTTCTGCACTGTTGGTGGGAGTGCAAGCTAATACATCCCTTTTGGAAAGAAGTATGGAGGATACTCAGGGATATAAAAGTAGCCCTGGCATTTGATCCTGCGATTCCTCTACTAGGTGTATATATAAATGTCCAAAAATCACTTTATAACAAAGATATTTGCATCAGATTGTTCACTGCAGCTCAATTTATAATAACCAAGTCATGGAAGAAACCCAAGTGTCCACTGACCCATGAATGGATTAATAAATTGTAGTATATGTATACCATGGAATGTTATGCAGCCTTAAAAAAGATGGAGACTTTACCCCTTTTACATTTACATGGATGGAGCCAGAACATATCTACTTAGTAAAGTATCTTAGGAATGGAAGAAAAAATATCCAATGTGCTCAGTACTACTGTGAAACCAATTTACAATCACTCACACTTTCATATGAAGAATAGATCACAACTATGGCCCAGGATGAAGGAAGGAGAAGGGGAGGAGGGAAGGAGGGGGTCAGATTGAGGGATAGTGAATGGTAGGATCACACCTATGGTACATAATGCAAGGGTACATGTCAGATCTATTAAGTGTAGAGTACAAATGTCTTAACACAATAAGTAAGTAAATGAGATGAGGTATATATCAACCAGTGTGGTGTAAGCATTCCTAATTCTATATGAAATCAGCACATTGTACCCCATAAATGCATTAATGTATACATGGATAAAAAAAAAAAAAAAAGCTAAGGGCATCAGCCTACCAGAATTTAGGGTGTACTAAAAGGCCATAATGGTCAAAACAGCATTGTATTGGCATAAAAATAAAGACACAGACATCTGGAATCGAATAGAAAACCAAGAAATGTAACTAACATCTTACAGCCACCTAATCTTTAATAAACAAAACAAGAAAATACACTGGGGAAAAGAATCCCTATTCAGTAAATGGTGCTGGGAGAACTAAATATCCACATGTAAAAAACTGAAACTGGACTCACACCTTTCTCCACTCACAAAAACTGATTCAAGATGGATAAAAGACCTAAATTTAAGGCATGAAAATATAAAAATCCTCAAAGAAAGCACGGGAAAAACCCTTAAAGATATTGGCCTGGGGACAGACTTTGTGAAGAAGGCTTCCGTGGCAATTGCAACAAAAACAAAAATAAACAAATGGGACTGAATTAAACTGAAAAGCTTCTGTACAGGTAAGGAGACAACAACCAAAGCAAATAGACAACCTACACAATGGGAAAGGTTATTTGCATACTTTGAATAAGACAAAATCTTGATAACTAGGATCTATTGAGAACTCAAATTAATCCACATGAAAAAATCCAACCATCACATATATCAATGGGCAAGAGGCATGAATAGAACCTTCTCTAAAGAAGACAGATGAATGGCTAACATATGAAAAACTGCTCATTGTCCCTAATTATTAGAGAAATGGAAATCAAAATCACCCTGAGATATCATGTAACCTCAGAAAGAATGGCCCATATCACAAAATCTCAAAACTACAGATGCTGGCATGGCTGTGGAGAGAAGGGAACACTTTTAAACTGCTGGTGGGACTGCAAACTAATACAACCTTTTTGGAAGGAAGTATGGAAAATCCTCAAAGAAATCAAACTAGTCCTCCCATTTGATCCTGCAATCCCATTACTGCACATAAGGACACTTGAACTAGACTGTTTATTGCATCTCAATTTACAGTCACCAAAATGTGGAAATGGCCTCAAATGCCCACCAACCCAGGAATGGATTAACAAGCTGTGGTATATGTATACCATGGAATACTATTCAGCCACTAAAGGAGACTTTACATCTTTTGTGTTAACCTGGATGGAAGTGGAACACATTATTCTCAGTGAAGCATCACAAGAATGGAGAAGCAAGAATCCCATGTACTCAATTCTTACATGAGGACCATTAATGACCTAGTATATGGTGGGGGTGGGGGAAGGAGAGAGCATATCAAGGGAAAGGGGAGTGGGGGGCATAACAGTGTGTGACACACCTTTTGGGGATGGGACACAATTATAAAAGGGACTTTATCTAACAAATGCAATAGTGTAACCTGGTTCTTTGTACTCTCAATGAATCCCCAGCAATAAAAAAAAAAGAAAAAAGAAAGAAAAAAATAAAAGGCATTAATTTCAGTTTCCATAGCATATTCCAGTATACAGAAATACAAGTGATTTTAACATGCTAATTGTGTATCCTGTAACATAAATGACATTACTTATTGGTTCTAGGAATTATTTTTTATCTGTAGGGTCCATGTAGATAATTCTTCTTCTGCAAATAGGGGAAGTTCTGTTTCTTCATTTCCAATTTGAATATATTTGACTTCCTTCTTTTACTTCACTGCGCTAAGTGGGAATTCCATTATGATGCTAAATAGCAGTGATGAGAGTGAGCATCCCTGCTTTATTCTCAATTTTAAGGATAAAGCACTCAATATTTCCTGAGTAGGTAAGATGTTAGCCATAGGATATCTTGTAGATTTCTTTTCATTAAGTTAAGGATATTCTCTTCTCCACATTCCTATTTTCCAGGGAGTTTTTGTTTTAACCTGAATGAATGTTGATTTTTTTCAAAAGTTTTTTCTGCATAAAGTGATATGATCATGTGCTTTTGCTTCATTAGTCTGTTACCTTGGTAGATTATATTGACTTTCAAATATTGAATCAACCTTAAATCCTTGAATCTGTGAAGTGTAGAACATAGATGTTTTGGCATGGTGATCAAGTAAATGAGGTGAAAGCTATGTTGATTAGTTTAATGTAACCATGTCAGATTGTATAAAAAAATCAAAATCAGCATATTGTACCCCACATATGCATAAATGTATTCATGATCTATGTGTATTTGACTTAATAAAAAATAAAAAAATAAAAAACAAAACAAAAACAAAAAAAATCCTTGAATTAAACCCCTTAGTTACAGTGTATAATTCTTTATTATGCTCAATTCTATCTGTTAATATTTTGTTAATAGCTTTTGCAACTAACTGCATGAAATATATTCCTCTATAGTTCTGTTTTCTTTTACTGTCTCTGTCAGGTTTGAGTATGAGAGAAATGCTGCTTTCACAAAATGAGTCAGGAAGTATTTCCTCCTATATTGTTTACTGCAAAAGATGCTATAGAATTTATGTGAATTTTTGCTTAAACATTTGGTAAACTTTCTAGTGAAATCACATAGGCCTCCATATTACTTTTTCACATGTCATTTAATTATGAATTCAATATCCTTAATAGTTATAAAGCTATTCAAATGATGTATTTGCATATTAAGTGAATTTTGGTAATTTGTACTTTTACAAAATTGATCCATTTCATCTAAGTTGTCAAATTTATATGCATGGACTTGTTCACATTATTCCCTTATTATCTTTTTTATGTCCAAAATGTTATTAATGATATCATCTATTTCATTCTACATAGTGGTATAATTTGTTTCTTCTTTTTTTTGTCAGTCATGCTAGAGCTTTGAAAGTTTTACTATTTTAAGGTTTTGGTTCTTTGGAACCAGTTCTTTGATTTTCTATATCACTTTTCTTATTTTACTTCCAAAGATTTATAATCTTATTTTTATTACTTATATTTATTAGTTCCTTCCTCCTTTCTGCCTGCTATTGATCTGTTTTCCTCTTCTGTTACTAAGCTCTTGAAGTAAGACTTTCAAATATTGATTTCAGACATTTCCTCTTTTACAACAGAAGCATTCATTCCATTAATCTTCCCTATTATCAATGATTTAGCCATTTCCAATAAATTTTGATATGTTGTATTTCCATTATCTTTCAATTAAATGTAACTTTTTTATCTCTCAAGATTTCCTTATTTAACACAGGTTATTCATAAGTGTTAGTATTCAAGCATTTGGAGATTTTCATGTTGACTTTAATTAATGATTTCTAGTTTTATTCCACTGTAATCAGAGAAAATACCCTGCATGATTTCAATCATTTTAAATATTTAGTAGTTTGTTTAATGGCACAAGCTTTGGTTATCTTGTTATGGGCTCCATATGCACCTGAAAACAAGACATAGTGTACTGGTGGTTAGATGGAGTATTTATCAAGTTGTTTATTACATCTTATTGGTTGATGGTCCTCTTGAATTCTTCTGAATCCTTGTTTTTCTGTCTAGCTGCTCTTTTACTTGTTGAAAGAAGAGTGTTGAAGTCTACAAGCATAATTGTGGATGTTTCTATTTCTTCTTTCATTTCTACAAATTTTTACGTTGTATATGTTGAAGTTTTGTTGTGTGGTGCGTCCACTTAGGATTACTATGCTTTCTTGAATATTTTTTAGAATTCCTTTTTGATTTATCTGCAGTATTTTATAGTCAATTGTCTTTGTTTAGATTTTTAGTGGTTGATTTACACATTGTATTGTGCACACATTACCTATTCAAGTGAAATGTGCAAACCTTATCTCCTTTGATGTTTTTTACTCTCCCCACTTTCATAATATATGTGTCTTAAAATATTACTACTATATACTTAGAAATCACATCATATCATTATGT